TTTTACTGTACCAATTTCTAAAAGCATAGCCCTAAATTCTAGGAAAAGCTATTATAATTAAAATGGGAAAGGCAATAAAATAATTTGCAAAAGGGGCTGAATTAAAGGGCCAATTCCATCCCAGATCCCCCAATTAAGATGTTTCTATCCCCATAATAGCTTCTACATAAAGACGATACAATTATGAACATAATAAAATTTGTTAGACTTTGTTTTGTGTAAAATTGGAATCAGAAACACTACGAGCTTTAGTCTTCATTGATTCCAATTGTACAGTAAAAATTGACCATGGCTATAATAAACTATCATACCCATGCTGTACAGTAAATCTGTTGAGCTTACTCCTAGCTACATGAAATTTTTTATCCTTCCCTAATCACCACCAAACCCCTACCTCCCCAACCACCATTTGACTGCTTCTATAAACTCAACCGTTTTAGTTTCTGCATATAAGTGAAATCAGTATCTATTTGTCTTTCTGACATAGTTTACTTAAAACAACTGCCCTCCAGTTTCACCCATGTGATTGCAAATGGTGAGATTTCCTTCTTTTTTAAGGCTAAATTGCATTATATTTACACACACACATCTCACTTTTGGGGGGGTGGATGGAACTGGCATGAACTCAAGGCCTCGCACTTGATAAGCAGAATTCTACCATGCACCCATCCATTTTTGCTTTAGTTATTTTTCAGATAGGGTCTCTCACTGGGGGAGGGGTGGAATCGCAGACTGTGATCCTTTTACCTATGTTTCCTGCACAACAAGGACCACAGACGTGCAGCTTGTTTGTTGAAACGGGGTCTTGTTAATTTTATTTTGTTTGGAATGGCCTCAAAATCCTCCCATTATCTGTCTCCCAAGTAATTGGGATTATAGGTGTTAACCACCACTCCTGTCCCATATCACATTGTCTTTATGCATTTAGCTGTCTTTGGACACCGAGGTCAGTTCCGTATCTTGCCTGTGGTGAGTAATACTCCAGTGACCATGGCCTTCAGGTGCCTCTCTGACATAAGGACATGGTTTCCTCTGGATATGTCTACCCAGTAATGGGACTGCTAGGTCATATGGCAGTTTAATTTTAATTGTTTTTCATAATGGCTGTACCAATCTGCTTTCTTAGCACACCACACCGATATTCCCTTCCCTTCTATGTTCTCTCCAGTACTGGGTATCTTTTTTGGTTTTTTGGCACTGGGGCTTGAAATCAGGGCCTCATGCTGGTTGGGCAAGTAGTCTACTCCTCGAGTCTCGGCAATAGGCCATTTTGTCTAGGTTACTTTTCAGATAAGGTCTGTGGCCAGTCTTTGACTGAGATCCTCATAATCTCCACCTCCTGAACAGCTGGGCCTCCCTGCCCAGTTTGTTTTCGAGATCCAATCTTGAGGGCTTTTTGCCCCAGCAAGCCTTCAACTGCAACCCTCCTATCTCTGCATCCCAAGTAGATGGGATTATAGGCACGTGCCACCTCAGCCAGCCTCTTTTGTCTAATAGGCACAAGGTGATAACTCAGTGAGATTTTAATTTCCTGAAAATTGCCAAGAGTAGATTTTTACTTTTGTCACCACAAAAATGATAATTGTGTGAGAAAGGCATAGGTTAATTAGCTCCATTTAGCAATTCCACGGTGGATATATATTACACACATCATGTTGTATGCTATAATGTGTGGAAGTTTTGTCACAAATTAATTTTAAAAAAAAGAAGCGACCATGGAATCCATTCAACTCTTGGCTGTTTCTCATAGGTAGGAATTTCCTGAAGTGCTACCCTTAAGCTTTGTCCCCAGAGGGCAAATAATGTGGAAAGGCAACTGAGGCCACATAATAACAGGTCTGATATCAAGTAGGATATCTGTTTTATTTTATAAATCTCACAGTTTTCAAATGATCCAACCTTGCTGTAGTATGTATTCCTAAAGAGATGAAAACATTGTTGTTAAGAAAATGGTTGTTAAAAGAAGCTAAAAACACAGACATATTGGTGACGATTAGTTAATTTATTATGAAGGGGTTGAGCATAAGTATCACACTTTTATAATCCCATTTCCAAAGTACACGAGTGACTACTTACAGCAGCTCCAAGCCAAGCTAAAGAAGACATAGTAGGAACATGAGCGTGAAGTTAAGTAAAAACCCACAGGTTTCCAAAGCAAAATCTATTCTTATTCTTGTTGAATAGGTGCATAAGCAAAACCCCAGTCTTGCTGGGATATTCCAAAATGAAGGCTTTCCCCAAATCTCTGTGAATGACAGCTTTGTTCAAGTCTATAAGACTGTATCTTAGATTAATTTTCAACAACTATGGTTTATTTGCAAATGTCCAAACTAAGATAGTTTAGATTTTTTTTCCTCTTAGCAATTTTCTTTTACCTTTCAGTTGTTTTTCTTTCTTAGGTTCGCACTTCTTCAGAAGGAGAAGTCAAAACTTTTAACTGAACAGTGTTTTCCATTAAATTATTCCAAGAGGTAAATCTTGTCATTATATATAAAATTGTCTTGAAGATCAGTCAGAATTTTGGAGTTTACCTCTCATAATTACAGGGATCTTCACTTTCACTCTTATTGTAAGGTGTATCTGGGAGATGGAAAGAGCATATTTCTGGAAAACTTAAGAAATTTTAAGCAACGAAGAATTAATTCATTACGATGTCCCATCTGAGTAATAATAAGAGAAATTTAGGATAAGCTGCAATGCTCCAAAATCTTGTCAAATTTCTATCAATACGTCATGAACCAAAATACATGGTCTCAGATTCAGAGCACATACACTCCTTCCTTCTAAAACCCGAGAAGGTCTTGAATGCATCCTATAAATAATAAACAGTTAAGGCAGGAAAGGAGGGAAGGCTGAAAGAGGGAAAGAAAAAGAATTAAAGAAGGTAAGAAGAAAAAATGTTTTATATAGTCTGAATTTGGAGAAAACCCTGCTGAGTTCATATGTATCATATCATCAGAAAGGAAAAATGCCTTCCTTCAATATTTTCTTTCTCTCTTCTTTTTCAGTGATAGAAATAAACAGAAACAACTCTGACAAAAGTGCTGTAATCTGCTAAACACAGTTGCCTTGTAATATATTATCTGTCTGCTTCCTTTGGATAATGTCTGTCCTATTTCCATTGTGTGGTTTTTAGCTAACATTTTTTCTATCTAAAGTAGCCTAGATTTCTTTTTGTAGCTAGGCAAGGGGCAACGTTTTTCTTCAGTAAAAAGCTGTTTTCTCATCACCTTTGAGGAAAGTGGGCAAGGTGGTCAGTGTCCCAGGATTCTGTCCTAGAATTTGGGAATCAATGAAAAGCAATGATTTCTGTGTATCCCTCCATCCCCATCCTGCCTGCCAGCTAACAGATAGAGAATGGGTTCCTCCCAGGTGCCTGGTCCTGCCAGAGAAGCAGGGGGATAAAACACATGAGCAAAAGAGAACCTATCTTAAACACATTTAACACCCAAGCAATTCAACAGACATTTACACAATTATATAAATAAACATGTGGTTTAAAAGTGTGATGGATAACGTGGAAGGAAATTGTAGAATCCTGTAACAGATTTAGACTTTTAATAGGTCCTGAGAAAAACAAAGCAAACAAAAGAGGTAGAAAATTGTGTCCATCGTCCACAGCCAGGAAAATATGCAAGCAACTTTGTATTATTTATCTGTGATCAAATAAAACTTCTTGGGGCTTGGCTTTTAAAACTCTATCCCTGCCAAAAAATACTTTCAAATTTGAATAGCAAAGAATATTTATTTAGGATGGTTTAGTATGCTATTTTAAAATAATCTAGGAAGGTTTCAACAGGAATGGATTTTGCCTAAACACAGGAATAGCTTTGGAGCAGCCATCAGAGGGATCTCAACTCATGAAATACAACCCATCTGTGCTGAGTATTGTAGCCTCTGTAAGCCCCAGATTCCTCCACTCCAAAGTAACTGCCATGCCACCTAAAGGATACCTTTGAGGACCAAGGGAGTTAGTGCACATGACAGTGCTCTGTGGCCACTAGAATAAAAGGTAGAGTATGGAAGGTCAGTGCAAAGCATTTAAATCTGGACCATGCCTCTGAGAGGAATTACAACTGGGTACCACAAAAGAATTCCATTAGCTAATTGAAAGATATCATTGTGTACTTATTGTTCAACCGCTTATCAATCATTCCACGCAGAATCTCATGCAATTATCATCCAAGCCAACTACATAGCATGTCATTCTTAGTTATCCTGCGGACAATTCTAGCAAAAGTCTTTCGCAATAAGTAACCATGTATGTGTTTGGGATTCAGCTTAACTTTCACTCAGACAGGAAAATAGCATTGTTTTGAGACATATGCTGGCTGGATTCTTGTTGTTCCTTTTAGAGATATATTCAAGGATAACAAAGTTAAACTGAAATAGGGAAAATTTCCACTAGAAAGAAACGCTATTTCAATCAGGGGAGGCTCATAATAATTCTCACAAGAGTTCATCTTTTAGCGAGCACGGTATTTTCACCTTAAAAGCCCTTATTTTTGTTACTAATTCCATGAAGAGCATTTCTGAAAACAGCCAGCTCCCTGGCCACCTGCCTTGCTTGATTAATGAAGCCATTCGGAGGAATCATGGCCCTGGAGAGACATTTTTAACCAGTCTCCTCTGAAGGAATTACTCAGGGCTTACCTCCCAGAATTTAAGTGTAGGTTCTCCAAAGATGTACAGGGGATTTTATAGCTAGCAATTATTTGCAAAATGTTCTGGAGGGTTCTCCTCTGAAATAAGTCCATCATACTAAACAACAATTTCAACTGTTGATATCTTACCATCTCAATTAAGGGGCAGGCCAGCCATTAAAAACATATTGAACAAGATTTTTAAACACAATCAAGTAATGGGTTATTTGTGACCATGTTTTAATAAAAATTTAGACAGAATTGTCCTGTTTACTCAACTTGATCTGTTTTGCACCTCAGAGTTTCACTGCTTGAAAAAGGAAACACACATAAACTCCTCAGCTTTAATAACGCAAACATATTTTTATTAAGGAGTGAAAGCATTTATGCTAAAGAATAGTTTACATATGTCATAAAGCAACAAGCACATCTTCAGGAGATGAGTCCTCCTCAGTATGACTCCATGCTTATTGTACATGCCTGAAAACTGGACCCACATATGGGGGACATACAGACACACACACAAATGCATACATGGACACACAGGTACACAGACCAAAATACTGACACCATTACTCTCTGCATTAGATTAGCTCTCATTTAAGGCTTCTAAGGTGCCTCAGTGCCCCTAATATTACCAAGAACAAAAAGAAACTTATAGAGTAATCATTTGCTCTCAGCCTGAAATAATTTGAATTTCATTCCATGTTGACTCAATGGTCTTTAAAGATTTGTGAAACTGAAAAATCTCAGGCTATCTTAGTGAGAACTTCTCATTAGAAACAATGAACACTAATAACTCTAAGATGTCACCAACTTTAAGGTAACAAGAGTTCCCTTTAGGTTAAGATGGGCATGGGTTTTCTAGATAAGCCGAGTGTATCTAATTCATTCCCTATTTGAGTGCAGTGCTGAGTGATGGGGGCAAGGACTCCTTGGCATCTGAAGTTCACTATGGAGGGGTCATCCAACAGGACCATCAACCAAGTAAGTTACCAAAAATTAGGGCTGGAAAAAAGGACAACCTCCATACAGTTTGTTTCTCATTCCCTTTTTCTGGGGTTTTTGTTGTTTGAAAGTCCTGGTTGGTTTGTTTATTGTTTATTTCATTTGCTTGGTTATGTTCTTCCCTTTTGGTGTCCAGTGGTGTGAATCCATATCTCTTGGGTAACTGGAAGGGGAAAGAGACTGGATGGTGCAGGAGGAGGGAAGAGATCATTAGTAGTTGCAAGTATTCTAAGAAAATAGATGAAGTGAATACAATAAGAGGGTACTACTTGATATATTCATGTAAATAAAAGCATTATCTTTAACTGCTATCTAACTGCCAACTATCAGGTTGTTAGTTGTAAAGCTCAATAAAGGCCGTGCTGATTTGCATACCGAGGGAGTCTACAACATGCCATGGGAGAGCAGCTCTTGTCACCCTGAAGTGTTCCTTCCACACTGTGGCCTCCACCCCAGCATCGGCACTGCACCAGCCACCCTCCTAGGGATCCCACAGGTGCCTCAGACATTTGTGTTGGATTTCATAAGGCAGATTGAAATGGTCCCTCAAATTATACCCACAGAGTACATGCCTGAGAGGGGTGAAAACTGGCATGGAGCTCTCCCACAAGAAGGTGTTGGAATATGAGACAAAAGAACAAGATGAGAGTCTACAGCCTTCTTCCCCATCCGCACTCCCACCCTCCTCACAGTCACAGCAGCAGCAGATTTCAATGTCACGTAATTACTTTAATGATACATTTCTTTAGATTTAGAATTGCTCTTCTGAATTTAAGAAGCATGATCAGCCAATAGTTTGGCAGTCTTTTCATCCCAAATTTGAATCATTGTGTATTCATCTATTATCTGGAACTTGACCGTTGCTGCCTTTGCTGGAACATCTCAAATTCATTCAGCCATCATCAGATTCCAATTCCTGGGAAACCTCTTCAGATGAGCTGTTCCTGTGGATCCGCCCATCACTCTTCATACTGTGGAAAGTCTTCTTGAAGGCCTCCATCATAGCATGGGCCAGCTTCTTGGCCTCGAGCTTGCTCTCGCACTCCACAGCATGGCAGTCCATCTGGTAGGACAGGTCATCATTGATCTCCCTGTAAACCCAGGCAAAGATGTTGGGGCTCACGTTGTGGTCAGCTGTGCAGTAGGCAATGCGGGCCACCTGAAAGGTATCCATGTGGACTGTGGCCTCACCCTTGTGGTCAAGGTGATGCAGCCACACTTGAAATGGGCGGATTTCCAAAAGAGCATTAGCTGGAAAGACGTCCTCTCGAGCAAGTGTGTGCTTCTTCCAGAGCTCAATGACTGGCTTCTCTGTGCACCCCGACAAAAACTGCATGCCCGTGGTAGATACTTTCCCCAGATAGGTGACCTGCAGAGAGGAAGCAAGGGAGAGGTCAGCAGAAGCTCTGCACTCAGATAGACTAAATGAGTTGATGGGACGAACACTCCCAACGTCCTATTGGAGTTGGGCAGATGCTCCTTCTTATCCCCTGGAAGAAGAACGCTCATCAGAATTTCGACCTTTCTGCCTAACAAGTTGCCTATTTGACAACTATAGACAGAGTCTTTAAATAAAGTTAGATTTTTAAAAAACCTAGTATCTAGAGATCTAGAGAACTATTCTCCCTCCCTAATCCCCTTTTAAATTAAAAATGAGTGATTGTGATCTTTTATTTAATTTGGCATTTCTTTAAAAATCATAAGGTCACTCAAAGTTTATTTTCAGCCAAACATGTGCAGAATTGGATGATAGGAAGGAATCAAAAGGATGTTGCATCTGAAAAACAAAACCTTTATTAAATTTATCTCCTAGTCGGATTCTCTTTCCAAGTCTTTCAGTTGGTTTCAGTTAGGCTGCTTGCTTCTAGCAAAGGCCAAAGATACAAAAACTATGCTGTTTAAATTATAGCCCAAAGCGTGAATGTCTTCCCTTCTAAGATAATTTTTTAAATTCAGCAGTGCCTAGCTATTTTCAACCTAAAGTTTGTGAACTGATGGGCCTTTGGTTATGTGATAAAAAATGAAGGGTGAGATAAAACTAGAATGCTGATTTATCAACTAGCTAGACAGGAAATACTAAAACTAAGAAAAATAATCCCCAATGATTTAAATACTGTCTTTTAAAAAACTTATTTATCAAGAAGGTATGTATCTTTTTTTTTCATTCATCAAAATGGGTAGAACTGCTTCCAGTTAGACATAGGCACTAAGGAAATGCATAAAACTGAAGGGATCAGTTAAGAAATAATACAAAATTGTACATGATTAGATTTAAGGTTAGTGACACAGATACAAATACGATGAATGTAAGAAATGGTAGTCCAGAAAACGTGCCCATGAAAATGGGGAGAACTGGGAAAGAACATTTGGTCACAGTGACTGCACAACCATGGCTCTATTTAGTGGGACTATGAAGGCTCCACATGAAAGATTTATAACTTAGAAGTCAGGTACTGCTGTGGCCTTTTGTGCTCAGTTGTCTTGAAATAAGAGTAACTTGGATAGTCCCTTAAAAAAAGGTAACTTCCGGCTGAGGATAGAGCTCGGTGTAGAGTGCTTGCCTACTAGGCCCAAGGGTGTGGGTTCCACCCCCAGCACCAGAAAAGAAATGATAAAAAGGTAACTCTTGCCAGGTGTAGTAGGTCATGCCTATAATCCTAGCACTTGAGAAGCTGAGGCAAGAGGATCACAAGTTTGAAGTCAGTCTGGGCTAGATTGTAAAAACCATTGTCTTAAAGTAAACTAACCAACAGACGTAACTTTTTAGTAAGAGTATGGGTACTGTACATTCCTGAAATATTCTTGGGAATCAATTTCACACAACACACAACAGCAACGTGGGTGTGATGTGTAATTGTGATGGGTCAAAAATCAGTAGGAAGAAAGTAACTGGATATTCATTCAGAGCAGTCTTTTTGACAAGCAAAGCAAGCAAGGTTTAAATCCATACGGATGGTTCTGGACAAATCTCTAAGCCTTTGGGCACACAGATATGACAGTGATGCAAAGGCAGACCATGAAGAGGGCTGGCATGGGACACGGTGAAGTACCTGGAGCATTCTGCAGAAGAAGTGATGGCCCCCTGAGGACGGAAGTCTCAGGGAGATCAGTCACTGGGTGTCAAGGGATCAGGTCTCAAATTATAGGTAGGAGTGCATGAGGCAAAAAGAGGTAGGGAGCAGCAGGGAGCAGGAAGAGCCAGGCTGCAGCAGGGAAGGTCCCAAATGAGGAAACAGACTACTCTAGCATGACCACACTCCAGGAAACAGGACTGGAGTAGTCAGAGAAGAGCCTCTAAGCACTGATGGATGGGAAGAAGCTGAGCTTGAGGGAGGGCCCTGCATGCTGTCTGAGCAGTTGGGACTCCAGTGCTCCTGATGGAATGCCACCAAAGAGCTACGCCCAGGAGTGTGCAGATGTGACAGAGGGAATAAACTCAGAAGATGTGCCTGATGCCAAGAAGAAAGGGGGAAAGGGAGGGCTGACCAACAGCAGAAACTAGTCAAGAGGCAAGGGTGGCGTGCTTTTAGGAGTAGAGAGAGGTGTGTGAAAGGACAGGAGGAGATGGGAATGATCCTGCAGGGATAAAACTGGCAATACCTGCCACAGGTTGAAGGAGGAAAGTGACTCAGGTTCTCCAAGCACCCACAGTCCCCAAGGAGAGTAATCAGCTGAACAGCTTGCTATCTGTCACTCAGGGTCAGAGTCACAATAAAAAGACTGATTTGTGAGAGAACACACAACATGTTTCTTGAGTAATACTTTCTGAAAATGTGCTTTCTGTTTATGGAACTCTATGACATCCTTGTCATTTTTTTTAAATGGAAGTGATATTCACATAACCTAAAACTGGCAATTTTAAAGCATGTGATTACGTAGTATGTAGTACACCACGATATTGTTCAGCTATTAGCTTTATGTAGTTCCAAAACATTTTCATCACTCCTCCAAGGAGACCCCCTACTCATTAAGCAGTTAAGCCACAGATCCTATCCACAATACAACCACTAATCTGCTGCCTGCCTCTATCATCAGGCATTTTAGACAGTTTCACAACAATGTGTGAACTTTCATCTGACTTCTTCTACTTAGCATGAAGTTATCAAAGCTCATCCAAGTTGTGGCACGTGTCAGTACTTAATTCCTTCCTATGACATCCTATTTTCCTTTGGTTTTCTGAGACAAGATTTTGCTATGTGTTCCTGTGTGCCAGCCTGGCCTTGGACTCGTAATGTAGCCCCAGCTTGGCTTTAAACTTGAGATCTTCCTGTCTCAGCCTCCCCGGTGCTGGGAGTACAGCTGTGTGTCATCACACCTGGCTTGACACCTTTGGTTTTGGATAGTTTAAAGGCACATACTTGGGAAGAAGATTCTGGCCAGATGGCAGACTACAAAGCACTAGGAATCTCTTTCCCACATGACAAAAACGGCCTGAGAAAGCTCTTTTTGTGGAACTCTGATGTCTATTGAAAGCTTGCAACTCTGAAAGTTTAGAAGATAAATTTGAGTAAATTTGGTCAATTTCAGCTGTTAGCACACTAGCCACCACCCACTTCCCACTTCCAGCCCTGTGAAAAGCACATATGATCCTGGAGCCACCTGCACACGGCATACAGAAGTCCGTACTCTGATTGCTGCTTCTATGTCACAGATGCAGACAACGAAGGGGACTGTATTATTGTTGCACTTCCCCTCATTGCTGTAAGACTTTTTCCCCTCCAGCTCAACTGACTTCCAGGGAATTTAAGAGGGATACCTCCACTTTCATTTCTCCCTTTTTCTTCTTTTGGGGTCTAGGTATTAAAGATTAAGACTTTTTAAAACATCTGCATACATGGGAAAGCTCAGAAGTGACCACATAGTCCAGGGGAAAGAGTTGGCTCAGAAACAATCAAAGAAGACTTAACTTGACACCTCAGGCTCACCCTTGGCATAGAGCCAACCACATGAGTCACACAAGCTCAATACAAAGCCTCTGACAAACACAGCAAACCCTGGGAGGCAGAGAAGCTGATTTCCACAGTCACCACATTCTTTGATTCAAAAGTACAATTTTCACAATGCAAAACTAGGAAACAGGAAAGTATGTTCTGTTCAATGGTTAAACAAAAAAAATCAATAGAAACTGTCCCTGAAAAAGCACTGCTGCAGATCCACTGGACAAAGACTTTAAAACAACCATTATAAAAATATTCAAACAACTAAAGAAAGAAAATCCAGAATGTTATGTATGAACAAAATTTAAAAATCAATAAATGATAGAAAGCCTGAAAACAAAGAAAAAAGAAGTTTTTGAGCTGAAAGTACAATAACCAAAATGAAAAATTTCCTAGAGGGACTACAAAGTTGGTTTGAAGCAGACAGAAGAAAGGCCAGTAGAACAGAACAGAGAGCTCAGAAATAGACAAATATTTGGTCAAATGATTTTCAACAAGACTATGCGAAGGGGAAAGGGCAGTCTTTCAACAGACAGTGCCAGAAAAACTGGATACCCACATGAACAAGAAGAAGTTAGACTGTTACTTTATACCAGAAAAACTGGATACCCACATGAACAAGAAGAAGTTAGACTGTTACTTTATACCAGGTCAAAATGGATCAATGACCTAAGGCAACAGAAGAAAACAAGGACAAAAGCTTCTTGACAGTGGATTTGGCAATGATGTTTCTAAATATAACACTAAAGAAACAGGTAACAAACAAAAAATACACAAATCAATCTTTATAAAAAAATTAAAGTGTGCATTAAGATAATATCAACAGATTAAAAAGGCAACCCACAGAATGGGGGAAATACTTGCAAATCATAAATCTGACAAGGAGTTAATGTCCAGCATATATAAAGAACTAAAAGTCAACAATGGAAAAAATAACCTGATTTGAAAACAGGCAAAGACCAGGAGTGGTACTTCCTTCCATGTAATCTCAGCTATATGGGAGATGGAGATCAGGACCATCAAGGTTCAAGGCCAGCCAAGGCAAAAAGTTAGTGAGATTCCATCTCAACCAACAAGGTGGGTGTGATGTGCACACCTGTCGTCTCAGCTATTCAGGAGGAGTAGGTAGGAGGATAGCACCAGCCTCCAACAACAACAAAAAAATGTGAAACCTTTTCCTAAAAATACCTAAAACAAAAAAAGTAAAGGACTGAAGATATGCCTTACAAGCACAAGGTCCTGAGTTCATACCCCTGTACTGGAAACAACAACAATAAATGAGCAGAGGAATTTTGTAGATATTTCGCTTCCAACGATACATGTGGCCAATAGCACATGAAAGATGTTCAAATTACTAATTATTAGAAAAATGCATATCCAAACAAGAAAAAGATAGCACCTCCAACCCTCATTAGGGTGGCTGCTATCAACA